AGAGAGAGAGAGAGAGAGAGAGAGAGAGAGAGTCAAAGTCAAGAAGATATGCTATGGGTGTGCATGGGTGTGTTTGTGTGTACGTGTTAATCTAATTGTGTATGGGTGTAGGTGCAATAGATTTTACACAAACAAAAGCAACGGTACATTTTTGGGTTGGTTTTTTTTTTAATTCTTAAAAAAAATTGCTACTCTAGTAGAACTCAGCTGGAAAATTCTGATGCTTGGATCTGGCATTCAAAGGGATTTTGTGTTATTATCTTCATGAGCAATCTGGAGTATTGCCTCAGAGATCATGGAACGACCGGCTTCAGAACCAGTCGTCCATTTCCTATCTACTCCCGCCTTTAGAATGGAAGAGGAGTTAAACATTTTTTGTTAGAAAAAAAAAGATATCAAAACAAGGCTGCAATCACGTTTGAACCAAATCCTGAAACGTGGCAGGAAAGAATAAAGGTGGAACACTGAAAACTGGAGTCCATAATATCATAAAAACTAACTTTTCCAGTAAAATAATTCTCATCAAACAGACAAGAGAAATACTGCAAAAAAGGGTACGTTTAATGTAAGCTTACATAACTCCCTTCAGCAACCCACCCCTCCCCCTACAAAAAGAAAAGAAAGAAAGAAGTAGATAAATAAATAACGTTAAATGAACAACTCCCCCACACACAAAAAAAAATAGAATTAGTTTTTAGAAACATTAAATTTTATAAAAAAAATTTAAGGTGGTAAAAAAAAAGAACCATCCGTCCATCTACAAAACTCTCAAATGATCTGATGAAGACCAACGGTAAAACAGAAAGGACGAAACAACAACAACAACAAAACAAAGCCAAACATTAACATCAACAAAAACAAACACAAAGAATAATATGTAGAAACCAGGATATGTCAAACTTATCTGACTGGAACAGCTGTGGCCAGATAATCAAGACAGGTGAAAAGAGAGTAAGTCCTAATACATGTATCGGAAATGGCCTCGTTTTCGAAGACTCAAAGGGACATAAATCCCAATCGGTCAATTAATCATGCATTCGTATTGACACAGTTGTCGCCCTGTCTATCTATCTATCTATCTATCTATCTATCTATCTATCTATCAATCTATCACTCACTCTAACTGATCAACTGACACAGCCCAGGTAGACCGCCAAGTGGACTGCCGCAGAACATTACTTGGTGTCCGTGGTTACACACCAAATCAAAGCGCCAGGATCAGGCGCACAAATCTTCTCTCATTCCCTTACGTGCTATGCCTTGAACTGACTCGGGTTATCTACATTTACACAAAGTGACTCCAGACTTTCATTTCTCAAAATAATATAAT